TCCATCTAAATTAACTTAATTAAGATAGAAAGATGTTTATATTTGATCAGTTTCCAAAAAAATGAAATTCCCCAAAGTCTGGGTTGGGGCAAGGTTTTGTTTTTGTCTTTCCAGTAGAATAAAAGCATCCAACTAAAGAATCTGAAGACCACTAGAACAATAAGACATCAGAAGAAGGACAAATCATCCACAGAAAATGTCCCAAGAAAAATAGTAAATTGGTTTAATGGTACAACACAAATCCAACAGGAAAATGTTTCAAAAATCTTTCCAAATGTTTGTTTCTACTGTTCTCAACAGACATATAAGGCAAATAGTCTTTTTGCAGTCTCAAATCAATTAAAATTTAAAGTTGGCTTTAGAACACGTGCACACACTTTCTGTTGTGATATAAATGGTCATATGGAGCCCTAACTAATTCTGGAAAGAGGCTTCATCTAGCTCCTATATATGATTTCCGGCTTGAGTATGAAGCAGACACTTAGGAACTAAGTTTGTGTATTTTGGTTGTACTTAACAGATTGTTATCCTTTAACGTCTCTGAGACTTGCTACATAAGACATTTAAAAAGTTTAAGTTTTCTGCAGTGAGCTGTGACCATTCCTAACAGCAAAAAATTGAAATCTCTAGAAGAATGATGGAGACCCACGATGATTCCACCTGGATGTGATAATGTCACTAAGCTGACAAACGCCACCCAAAGATCAGCTTTGGACTATAAACTGCTCAGAACAGTTTGAAGACAGCTAGCTAAGATCGTCTAGCATCACAGACTACTCCAGTCAGAACTTCAGATAAGCCTTGCACTTTTCCTATCACACTAGACAACAGCCAGCTCTCCCAGGACTTTATCTTTACCTCAATTTTTTTCAGCATCCCCTAAAGATGCCATCACCTCCAGAGAAGAAAGTAAATTTAAGAACATAATGTTCACATTTCCAAGAAGTGGGGTGGGTGGTTTTTGTTTGTTTGATGAATGTTTGTCATCATTTAAGGGGATTGGTTACAAGTTGCTATTGATCACAGTCAGGGAGGAAACTAAAAGGAAATTGGATTCAGGGATTTCATTCTAAAAAGAAAAAGGGTGAGGATACAGAAATGATAAGATAAAAGGGTAGATATTGAATCTACTTTCAAACTAAAAAAGCAACTAATAGTCACACATATTTCATATTGGTATGTATTTTTGCATATCGATACAAATTTAAGGTTATTTTGTTATATTGTATAAATGTTTCTATTCTTGTTTAAGGTATTTTTGTATATTTATTTTATATTTATTTTTGTTATACTATATGCTCTCTATTTTTTGTTTAAGGTATTGTAACTATGCAGCTCATTTAAAAATATAGTATAAAGTAAATCCTTGAAAGCTATTTAGGAAAATTAAAAAAAATACAAGTTAGTTGTTGAAAGGAGTGGTGGGCCGCTTCCCGCCACCCAGCTCCTGGCCATTGGCTAGCTTTACCTGAAATAATTATACAGAAACTGTATTCTTTTAAACACTGCCTGGCCCATTAGTTATAACCTCTTATTGGCTAGCTCTTACATATTGATCTAACCCATTTCTAATATCCGTATTGCCACTTGAGTGTGGCTTACCGGGACGAGTCTAAGGGGCATCCACCTCAGAGAAGAGAGTCATGGCCACTGACCTCACTGCCTTCTTCCCAGCATACTGTTCTGTTTACTCCACCTACCTAATTTTCTGTCCTATTAAAGGGCCAAGGCAGTTTCTTTATTTAACCAATAAAATCAACACAAAACAGAAGACTCTCCCATATCAGTTAGTAGTTAGTCATTATAATAGCCATACTTATAGTCATGTTGGGTATGTTTCCAAAGCCAAGCATAGACATATTTAAAATAGACAGATGGTCTTCAAACACTTCAGAGGCTTACGAAATATGGAATTTAAAACATTTTAATAACGTATGGCTTTGGGGCTGGAGAGATGGCTCAGAGGTTAGGAGCATTGCCTGCTCTTCCAAAGGTCCTGAGTTCAATTCCCAGCAACCACATGGGGGCTCACAGCCATCTGTAATGGGGTCTGATGCCCTCTTCTGGCCTGCAGGCATACACACAGACAGAATATTGTATACATATATATGTATAAATAAATAAATATTAAAAAAATAACATATGGCTTTTCATGACAGTGAGACATCTGCTCCAGACAGCACCAATTTACTTCAAAAGAGAATGATGGACATCAAAAAATTTCCATATGGAATTTGCTTTCATTTGTGGCAAAGTTAGTAACTGGGCAAAGGAACTGTCCTTGCCTCAACTGCTGACAGTTTGCTATCCAAACTGGACAAACAGGATGCAAAAGAAAGCAACTGCCAAAAAATGTTGTCAAGACAAAGTAGAACAGTCCTTCAAAATTCCTGCTTCATAGAAAAGTCTGTCAAATATTCTAGTTCTGTAGGCCAAAGATGGATGCACCAAGGTTGCACAGCAAACTTGGGGTGATTGTCCAGGCAGTCAGAAGTCTCTATTGTTTCTTAGTTTTGGAAGTTGCTTCCTCTGTAATTCCTGTTTAATCAGATAATTCTATATTGTTCTTGGGTCTCTGATGGAACTGAAAGCTAGATAGTTACAGTTTTCTATAGTTTTAATAGAAAGTAAATAAAGTACAAAACTCTGAATTCACCAATATAGGACAGATAATGGAGTATTTGAATTTGAAAATACTAATGGACTGGACATTGTGAATGTATTTCCTACTTAATAATTGTTGCTGCTGTATAGTTTAACGATGTTAGGGTTAAAACTCTTCTGTTTTTAGACAAAAAAGGGAAATGTTTCATAAGAATTGCTTGTACTGCAACCCAGCTGTAACAACAAAACCACCTTGAATCAAGGACAGCGTCAGCAACAGCTGACCAGGATTAGCCATAGAGTTGTTGGAGACTGTGGATGCTGAACAGAAAGGAAAAGGAAGACAGAAAGAGGGGCTGAGGGGAAGATTTCCATGGTTTTGTGAAGAGAAAAATGTAGAGAGTAGGGTCAGCTGATCACCCCTCCACTGTTCCTTAGATTTATTAGTTTTTTAGTTCATTTTCTATCTCTGAGTTTTTATTAACACTAGAACAATTTAGGTGAAGACTATAGAAGATAGCAGGGAATTTATGTGTAACAGAAAGCCTGAACCACTGTTAAAGCTTTTCAGAAGGTAGTGTCCATGACACAAAGTTTGTAAAATATCTAAGTCAAAACATCATGATGAGAGCTACAGAAAGGTCAGCAGTTAAGAGCACTAGATTCTCCTTGAGGGTACCCAGGTTTGATTCTCAGCACACACATTACGGTAGCTCAAAACCATTTGTAATCCTAGTTACAATATACCCTCTTCTGGCCTTCACACCAGATACACATGTAGGCCAATACTCATAAAATAAAAATATAAATAAATCTTTTTTAAAAAATCACTATGTCACTGTAATATAACATGGGAACTAAGAAAGTGATTTCAGAAATGGGTCATCCCTAAAAAGCAAAGGTTTAGTGTTTTATTTCAAGTATTTAAATTTCTATACTGTTAACACATACCTCTACATTCTTTACTTTGTTTATTATGTGAGACTTAAGATCTTATTGATAAGTTTTGTAAATCATGGTATTTATTTTCCTAGGTGAGGAAAGTTTATAATGAATTTTGGTACCCCTCACAATTACCTTTCATTCAAGCATAAAAAAAATCCACACACATTGTTCATACGGTCTCAAAGTTTTAATAATAAAAGGAAATTCTAGCAGCAAACAAACTCCTGTTTTTCTGGAAGTTGCCATCTGAGCTGAGTGGGAAGGTTCCGATAAAAAAAAAATGGATCAACTGTTGCTTAAGAGGTACAAAACAAAACTCATAGTGTTGCTTTCTCAAGGCCTGTCTGTTTCTACAGGGATCCTGGCAAGAGCCTCAGCTACTGCATTTATCCAGGTATTTGCAATGTATTACAGTTCAAAGCAACAGAAAAGAGACATTAACATCTTAAACTACTAGTTGTTGAGGGAAAAATTATTTTAGCTAAGAGAGACTGTGTAATGAAGTAGAGAAGACGATCGTGGGAAGATCAAGCAAGAGAAAATAAGAGTAATATCAGATGACAGATATTACTATAAGTAAGACGATAGAGGTTAAGAAGCCCAAACAAATACAGATTGCTTGGTGTGACATCTTGTGCAGTGTGCAAGCAGCACCAGAAACTTGGGTCTGACAGAACAGCAGAAGCTGTATGTGTGAGTGATAGCTGCTAATTGTAATTAAAACAGTACCACCACTGTAATCAAGAGACATAAGAGACATATTTGTTTTAACAAAAGTTCACAGAGTATAAAGAGAACAATCTAAATATATTAGCAGTTAGAGATTTCAATCTGAAGAACCTACATGATGTCAGGTAAGAAGGAAAATGGCATAAATTATAGTAGTGCTTTGCTGAAATTGACAATTTTATAGAAACTGGTGTCTGATGTGACAAAATATGAATTATCAAAACTCAATGGCAAATCTATGGAAATTCATTATACTATCCTACTTTTATATACATTTGAAAATGCTTACAACAAGTGTTTTCCTTAATAAAAAAATTACATTGTGTGTGTATGTGTGAGAGCCAAAGCATATGCATGAAAAGTAGGGAGACAACTTTATGAACTTGGTTCTCCCTCCACATTTACATGGGCCTAAGGAATGAACTCAGGTCATTAGGTTTCACAAAGAACCTTATGGGGAGGCAACTTTGCCCATCTAGAAGAACTCTGTAACATTTCTAAGATATAGGGTGGTAATAAATGCGAGAAGCAATGGCCTCTTCCCCAGCTGACCTGAATTTTCCTTTGTGCCATGCTAGACAAAATTTGTTCTAGAAAGTAGGAGAAATCAGCTGGCAAGATAATTAGGCTCCCTGTAATAGGGCAATGCACAAAGCTACAGAAACAAATGAGCAGGGGCATTTCAAATGAGTGGAGCCCAAAGCACAAAGGTGAAGACTTACTTCATCTCTAGAACTTCCTCTAAGTGCTTCCTCCTCTCTGCCCGGAGATTGGTGAGGTGTGTCTCCTTCTCTGCTAGGGACTGTTGAGTGGAGGACAGTTTAGCTTTCATGGACTCCAGTTCCTGCTTCACCTTCTCCATGGCCATCAACAGTTCTTCCACCTATGACACGTACAAAAAGGGAAAAGTGAAACACTATTGTCAAATACAGAGAGTGTCGCTGGGCCATGGGCAACTCCTGGGCTGATAAAATGGAAGATACATGATCCTTCTGAAATTTCTAAACTCTTTCTGATCATGTATATATACATCAAGAATAAACGGGAACAGAGATTTATCTCCGAGGTAGGGAGTGTATTCAAAATTCTCAGTTTGTTCCCCAGCAAATCAGCAAACAACAGCACATATCCACCCCACACGAGAGAGAGAGAGAGAGAGAGAGAGAGAGAGAGAGAGAGAGAGAGAGAGAGAGAGAAGATGAATATAGAGTGAGAACTGGTCTCTACACTCAAAGTGATAACACACATGCCCACGCTCATGTACTCTCACAGTAAAGTACTTATTGCACAACTCTAATGACCCCAGAAGACCTGAGTTCAATCCCTTGAATCCACGTAAAGGTGAAAGGAGAGAACTAACTCCACAAAGTTGTCTTCTGACCTGCACTCCCTCTATCACACATACACTACCCCACAACACACAAACACCAATGCACAAAACAACAATTACTTATAGAAGGATCTTATGAAATAAAGGCCAAACTTGAGTACTAGATGCAGCATATGCAGAGAGTAGTTTTATACATTGGAATTAAGTTCTATTGTTAACAGCATTAAAGAGTTCCTTTTTTATATCCAAAAATATATGATCACATAAAAGAGGTACAATGCTTTAAAAAGATCTGGGCAAAAAGAAGCCTTGATAGAAACAAATCTGAAACAAATAAAAACCATGTGCAAGGCCAACAAAAATACAAAATGCTAAAATACAGGGAAAAGAAACACAGAGAGGAAAGGTCTGTATCTCATAAGCTATTTTCATTCATTCTGGTTATTCAAATTTGAATTACCTACATAAAAACTATACAGAGGAAAGCCTGTTATTAACAAACAGTGATCTCACAGGTAAGCACAGAGCACTGATCACAGAAGTTTATAATAGTGTTCATCATGATGATGACCTATCTGTTCAGAAGCAGTAGGTCGAGGAAGGGATTCTGTCATTCATTCACTCCTATACAAACCAATTTTTGTGCTAAAACTGAAAGCTGTTTGGGGAGACAGGCCTATGGTAAGCACACCAGAGCTGTTTGTGGACTCCTTCAAGTGAGTGCCCAGTACAAACCACATCTGCTACTCAACAGCAAGAAAAGGACGTTTGCATGTGTGTACCTGCATTACATGTATATATATATATATATATACACACACACACACACACACACACACACACACACCCAAGGGCTCAAGTCGATCCTTGCTCTAATGGGAGGAACTCACTGGGATATAGTCACATCTGCATATGTCAGGTGAATATATGTAACCCTCAGTTCTCTGGGCACCACTGATAAGAGTTAATTCCATTCTACCCATTCAGTTAGTGTAAACCTTTCTATAACTGAGTAAACATGTGTTCTAACACAAGAAGAGCAAGGTGCATTTGTTATCAGAATTTGTTGCCTTCCCTACACAGATCTCAAAAGTCTCCCAGGCATCTTGTATTGCACCATTCATAGCAAACAACCATATCAGTTTCTTACATACCCTAGAAAGAATCTACATACATACAAGCAAAAGTATATATTAACAGTCAAACCCTCCTCTCCCTACACAAAAGGAAACTATGTATTTCCCTTTACAGCTAAACAATTTTTGGTGAATCTTTTACAAGAATGAAAAATACACGCAGATATACAATAAACGTGGAACTTGAAAAATCTGCTTCAAGTCAATGCATCTTGTTAGCATGTCAATTAATAAACAGAACACTGTCAGCACCTCAAAACCTGCCTCTCTATTCCTTTGAAGAAAAAAAGTATTCTATCATTTTGTTTTTCCAAACTTGATATTCTGCCTGTTAACTTTGCAAATAGAATCATAAAGCATATAATTATTTGGCATTTTCTAAGATTCATGCATGCTGATGGTATGATTATAGTGTTGTAATTTTCCTAACTGCATATTCTACTTTGTGAAAACACAAGGACATACACACTTTATGATGCTTTGATAGGGAATATTTAAATTGAGTGGATCTTAATAAACACAGTTTTCTTTGTTTTTGTTTACATGTGGTTTTTTTTGATAGAATATTATTCATGTTGTAATTACAAGCAGAAAGCTTTTGGAGTTGAGACAGGATAGTACCAAGTCAGACTCAGTCATTTGGGACTTGCTCCTTGGTGGTTAAATCACGTTATTTCCCAGCAGTTCAACGTCCATGTTTAGAGCAATGAATGCTGGGAAAGGCAGCCCCTAGGAATAGTCCGTCGGTTTGCTGAATTGGTAACTGGAGCATAGTGATAGCTTAATCTTCACCAAATGAGGCCAGGGTCAAATTTCCTTTCTTCTCCCCCCTCTCCCCAGACAGAGTTTCTCTGTAGCTTTGGAGTCTGTCCTGAAACTCGCTTTATAGACAAGGCTGGCTTCGAACTCCCTCTGCCTTCTGAGAGCTGGGATTAAAGGCGTGCGCCACCATTGCCCGCCCTTCAGCTTAATGTTACTTTTGTGTACATTAATGATTCCCAAGTACGCTCACTGGTCTGTATGACCTCAGTCATGAATTCATTCCTTCAGCCACTTCCTCGTCCCTCGGGTCAGCCACGTCCTTGTCCCTCGGTTCGGCCACATCCTCGTCCCTTGGGTTGGCCGTGTCCTCGTCCCTCAGGTCAGCTGTGTCCTCGTCCTTTGAGTTGTCCGTGTCCTCGTCCCTCAGGTCTACACAGCAAGTCTGCAGCACCTCACTCCAGCTGTTTCTTCTGTTCTTCTGCTTCGCGATCTCTTCCTTGTATTTCTTCTTCTTTTCAAGAAACCAAAGGTAGACCTGCTTATCTGTCAAGCTAAATTCAAAGGACAGAGAAAAACAGTCTTGCACGGTGGGACCTTTTCTTAGTTTAAATTTTGCCCACAGAGTGTCCAGGAGCGGCTTGCTGACTGGCTTCTTGGGACTCATGCCTTCGTTTTCCTGCTGGGCTTGTTTTTTTTGTTTCCCTTTCAGCCTCTTTCTCTGTTCTCTGTTCCGTTTTGTTTTCCTCTGTCCTTTCTCTTTGCTCCTGCAGAATCGTTCCCATTGCTGTCGCAGGAGGTGTGTGACTTGTTTGCTTCTTTTCATGAGATTCCAACTTTTCGGTTTTGTGATCTTCTTGATGGCCAGAATTTTGCTCATGATGTGAGTATGCTTTCAGATCAGATCCTCTAGGCTCTGAATCAATAAAAAGATTGTTTCAGCTCACAGTTCTGGAAGGCAAAGATCAGAAGGCTCCCAAAGGACGTCCTTGTCTCTGGAAAGTACCGAAGTCTTGTGTGACTGGACTGTCCTACATGTGGTTTTTGAGAGAGGGTTTCTCTGTCTAGCATTGGTTGTCCGGGAATTCACTCAACAAAAACAGGCTGGCTTGAACTTGGGAGATCCACCTGCCTCTGTCTCCTGAGTGCTGGAATTAAAGGTGTGTGCCACCACTAACCAACAATAAACGTGATCTTATTTCTTACAAGTATGGAGTGTTTTGTGCCCTGTATAAAAGTCTGTCTACATCAAAGTCATATGATTATTCTATCTTTATAAACTCTTGATTATTTCACGTTTAGATTTATAAAACACACACACTGATTTCTGCATACACTATTAACTGTATGAGCATGTGAATCTAATTTACTTAACAACATTAACAGCAGAAAAAAATTAAGGTCATAGTTTAAATTTTAACAATTCCCATCTACTTTTAGAAAAGATAAGAAATTATGTAAAGATAACTACACAAAGTAGGAAATAATAATAGTCCTTCACCGCACACAATTGTCTTCAAATGTCAGAACTGAGAATTGTGAAATGTTTTGTTTATAGAAAGACTAGGTCCTATGTGTATTTTCCAGAATAAACAGCAAAACAGACATCTCTTACCCATGGTTCTGCTTTTCATAGTCTCAGCTACCTGTAGTATGACAATATCAAATGGAAAACCCAGAAATAAACAACTCATAACTTTTCTAAAGAGAGTGATAAAATCTCACACCCCTTCCTCTCTCCAGCTGACTGTGAATTACTGCTTGTCTATTATTTGTGTCTGCTGTCTGCCTTCAGGTCATGCAGCAGCAGCCTCAGGGATCAAGTACACTGACTTGCTCTCAAAGTGCTTGTGCTCTAGTAATGTTTATTTTTACTTAATAATGGCTTTAAAGTACAAAGCAGTGTTGACAAAAAAAAAAAAAGATGTAAAGTGTTCCCTTTCAATGAGAAGTATAGTAAGAAATGTTGAGAAAGAGGCCATATCTACATAACTTGTAATACAGTAGGTCATTCTAATGAGTTTATCATTTTTATTCTCTCGCTGTGCCTAATTCATAAATAAGACTTTACCATATGCATTCAGTATGGCTTGCAGTTCAGGCATACATTAAAAACAAGTGTGTAGGAGAAGACTATCATAGTTATCACTGAACAGCTTACATGTAGTCATTTCACTGTACCCCCACCAAGTTCCTAAAAAATAGCAGCATTCGGGATTTGTCTTCTATCTTTCATGCCTACTCCCTTTTTGAGACAGTTTGATGCTGGCCTGAAAAATCAGTATGTAACTAAGACTGGACTTGACCACCTACTCTTCCTGTACACACACACACACACACACACACCCTCACATCAGAAGTCAATTGTGGGACTTAGTTTTCTCCTATCATATAGGTTTCAGAGACGAAACTTAAGTTTGCCAGGCTTGACAACAACCTCTTACCTGCTAAGTTGTGTCAGCCTACCTACATTTTTTTAAACTATGTGCATATATTTCAAAGTATATCACTTTATTTTTATCAGTTTATAAATTTGTAGAAAAGTTAAGAACACACACAACACCACCAAGAGCAACACAACACCAGTAAAACCTAAAGAGCCTACAACAGCAAGACCTGAACAACCAAATATGGATGAGGCAGAAGAAAATGACCTAA